TAAATATGACTTTTTTTTATTGAGGTGAAGCTGATCAGTGAGTCTGAATGATCAATACATTAATTTAACAACCTGCATCTGATTTTTATAATAAGTCAAATCTGAATAATTCAGCCGTTTAAAGCTGATCTGAGGTCAGTTTGTGGATCACACAGTATGAGCCACATACATATATTATAGGTTATATGAATCAAATGGAAGCTGCTGCTGAACGATCACAATACTAAGCCAATCCAGAGTTATTGATCAAAACGAACTGTAAGTGCACTTAAAATACTGAGTTTCTTTTTCAATAAATGTTGAAATATTGTTCATTAAGTATATTGTCATCCACGTAAAGTTTAAATATTAAAGACTGAATTCAATAAACAAAGTCAGGACAATGTTTGGTCAGTTTTGACTCCCCTGTAAAGTTAAATGTCACTGATATGTTATAAATATTATAAATATTATAAATAATGAAGAAGTATCAGAAGATCATTTAAAAACTGAATAAAGTTGAATTTCAACAGCTGGAATCAAACCGGCAACGTTACAGTTAAACAGCTTTAATCTGCTCGGCGCTGCAACCGAAAGCCTCCAGAATGAATTCACTCGATTCAGGACAAAAGCCGCCGCGCAGCAGTAATCCAGTATTCTGATTACTTTCTATCTACAAAATAAAATAAATGAACAGAACATGATAAGAAAGGTTTCATGTGAATCATGGGAAAAGGAATTGATTTATTTTTATACATAAAAACATACATTTATTTATTTTTTAAATTGAAATTTGGAATTTTCCAGATTGGAACCTGAGACTGAGACAAAAAGCAGAGTTTTGTATTTTGAGGATTTACAGATTTCTCTCTGTAGACAGAAGTGTTGTTTCTATTGTTCATCTAATAATTTTTATTATAATAATCCTTTTTATTTGTATAATGCTTTAAAATGAAACAGCAGAAGAATAAAACCAACGTAAAGAAGAAGTGATGAACTGATGGATCACAGATTGAAAGCAGAATTAAATTGGTGGTTTTTTAAATGCAGTTTTGAATGAGGGCAGAGAGGGAGTTCCGGGGGGGGGGGACCGGTCCCCCAGGTCTGGTGCTTGGACCGGGTGAGAGGGGAGACAGGGGAGAGAGGAGAGCGAGGGGTGAAGGTGCAGGTGTCAGTGAGTTAGGGTGTCATGGAGGACTTTGTAGGTGAAGAGGAGAATTTTTGATTCTTTGTTGAACGGGGATCAAGTGGATCCGGACTCTGGTGCTGGAGCTGGTGAGCAGACAGGAAGCTGAGTTCTGGATGTTTTAGTTTGTTGAAGGTTTTGAGTGGATCATCTATTGATCATCTATTGATCATCTGTCTCTATTCCGCTGAGTAGTAGATAGTAAGTAGTAATATTAGTATTATTATTAGTAGTATTAGTAGTATTAGTATAAGTAGACAGTATCACAGTTACAGTAACTCTGCTGTGAAACATTAATATGATGAATCTTTAGTATCTGCACAACAATACTGAAGAAATTATTAGAAATGAAATATAATATAAAGTCACAGCACGGTGAGCATCAACAGAAACCAGAACCACAAAGAACCACATAGAACCACAAAGAACCACAAACAGCAGGAAGTGAAAATCCGATGAAAATCGTCACAGAATATCGCCACTGACAGTTTCTGATCAGACGCTCTGAATGTTTCCACATTATTAATATGAGAATATTTATAATAAATTCAATAACTCAATAACATTGACTCGGTGAAAGCTCCGACCAGTCGACTGAATACTGCAGCAACAATACTTTATATTATATATAATCACATTTTATACTTTATTCTCTGCTGTTATCAATCAGTCTGATCTGTGCTGATAATCGATCAGCTGTAACGTGTTCTCACAGTATTGATCTGCTGCTTCACACCAATATCAGACAGATAATCACATCAATCCCTTTCATGATGAACTGTTTCTGTATTTCAATTAAATCCTCTGATTTCTGACTGAAGTTTGGTTTAGCAAATATTTCTCAGACTGAAACACACTGAACAGTAAAACTACAGTAAATATACGTAAAACTACAGTAAATATATCTAAAACTACACTAAACATACATAAAACTACAGTAAATATACGGAAAACTACAGTAAATATTCATAAAACTACAGTAAATATACATAAAACTACAGTAAAACTACAGTAAATATACGTAAAACTACAGTAAATATACATAAAACTACAGTAAATATTCATAAAACTACGGTAAAACTACAATAAATAAACATTAAACTACAGTAAAACTACAGTAAATATACGTAAAACTACAGTAAATATACATAAAACTACAGTAAAACTAAAGTAAATATACGTAAAACTACAGTAAATATACATAAAACTACACTAAAACTACAGTAAATATACGTATAACTACAGTAAATATACATAAAACTACATTAAATATTCATAAAACTACGGTAAAACTACAGTAAATATACATAAAACTACAGAAAATATACATAAAACTACAGTAAATATACATAAAACTACAGTAAATATTCATAAAAATACGGTAAATATACATAAAACTACAGTAAATATTCATAAAACTACAGTAAATATACATAAAACTACAGTAAATATACATAAAACTACAGTAAATATACATACAACTACAGTAAAACTACAGTAAATATAATAATAATAATAATAAATTTTATTTAAAGGCGCCTCTCTGGGCACTCGAGGAACACCGTACAATACATAAAAATAAAAAATAAAACAGTAAGAAATAAGAACCAGACAGGAAAAGGACAATGTAGAGAATTAAGTGGGGTAGGCAGTTCTGAATAGGTGAGTTTTTAGTCTTGATTTGAAGAGGGGGAGAGAGTCCAGGTTCCTGATGTCCGGTGGAAGTGAGTTCCAGAGTCGGGGGGCAGAGCGGCTGAAAGCCCTGCTCCCCATGGTGAAAAGACGGGAGACAGAGAGGTGGACAGAGGAGGCAGATCTGAGGGAACGGGAAGGGGTGGCGATGTGGAGGAGTTCGGACAGATAAAGAGGGGAAAGGTTGTGGATGGCCTTGAACGTAAATTACGTAAACGTAACGTAAACAGTAAAAACTACAGTAAATATACATAAAACTACAGTAAAACTACAGTAAATATACAATAACACTGCAGTACTATTACAGGGTCGTCCACTAATCAGAAGGTTGGAGGTTCGATTCCTGGATCCTACCGCTGCAGGTCGAAAAAATACTGAACCCCAAACTGCTGCTGGACCACTGAGTGGATGTGTGAATGTGTGAATGTGTGAATGTGTGTGTGTGTGTGAGAATGTGCTCCCATCTGGAGGCACCACACACACACACACACACACACACACACACACATTCACACATATATAAAAATAAGTTTTTATGTGTTTGTTCTCTTTACTCTCCAAAATAAAAGCATGTAACCCCGAAGGATCCCACGAAGCACTGCAGGCTCCCATTGGACGGTTCAGACCGCAGCCGACCAATCAGAAGGCAGAACAGAGAGCTGTTAACTCTCTGCTGCCAGGCGCAGAAATATGGTAGAAAAACCACAGAAGAAGAGACTCTGACATGTGATTGACAGCAGAGGTCAAAGGTCACTGCAGGAGCAGGAGAGCGGGAGACAGCGGGGGAGAGCGGGGGTGAGCGGGACAGAGCGTGGGGGGGTTGTCATAGATTCTCTCACTTTGTTTTAATAAATAAAAAGTTTGATTAATTTTTAGGATTTCTTCTTTTTCTGGATGTTGACTATTAATTATAAAAACAATTAAAGATAAACATTTGATGTTATTTTACACAGAATTACCGTAAAACTTCTAATAATAGCCCGGGCGTTTATTTGCTAAAATCACTGAACTCCCCCTGCCTTTATTGGGGACAGGCCTCTATTTGGGACAGGCCTCTATTTGGGACAGGCCTTTGATTCCTTTAGCACAAAACTAAACTAAACTCTAACTGCTGCTTCTCTTGAGTTTTATTCAGCAAATTTGACAACTAACATGATGATTATGATGCTTCAGAGGTTTTTTTCCGTTTCTCTTGTTTACCATGTTACCGGTAAGTCAGAATGAATTAACGTTATAGTTTGTTGTTGATAATTTTTATAAAATATATTGAACGATTGAATTGTGGAGAATCTATAACTGATCTAATGATGTTCATTATGTACATGCTGACAGAAGTTTAAACATTTATATTTGTGTAGGAGATCAAAACGACTTAAAACTCGCTCAAGCAGGCGACCCGGTGGGTTTTAAGAGGTTTTATACATCGAGAACATTTCTATAAAATCCAGACCAGGCCTCTATTGGAGACCTGCCTTTATTTGTCAAAATGTGTAGCCACACCAGGCTTTTAAAGGAGACCTGCATCTATTAGGGACCCTGCTTTTATTGGAAGGTTTACGGTAATTATTAATAAATGTGACCCGTGGCCCCTTCACTGATTGTGGGAATATTCTATATCTGTGTAAAACTTCATCTGAATATATTATTTCTCTTTTATTATTATTATTATTATTATTATTATTATTATTATTGTCGTTGTTGTTGTTGTTGTTGTTGGTTCCTGCTGAATATTTGATCTGTTTTATTTTATCACCTTTAAAAACATTTAGCTCTTTAACTGATTATTATTATTATTATATTATAATAATTATTATTATTATATTATAATTGAATATTATTATTAATATTATTATTATGAAGAACCGTTCCTGAGGAGAATAACATGTTAATGTCATTTAAACTTTTATCTTCAGTTTCTATTTACTGAATTTTGAACCAGCTTCAGTTTAAATGTGGTGGTAAAATATATTTAATATAAAGTATAAATATAAAGTTATTTACACTTTATATTAAATATATTTTATATAAAGTATAAATAAAATATAAAGTTTATATTCATAATTAGAAACTTTAACATTCATTTTATTGAACTTGAACGTTCCTGTATTCTCTCCCTCTGTGCAGCACCGGGACCGGGTCTTACCTGGGGTTGGAGCTGTTCCAGTAGACCGCGTACCGGTCTGAGATGAGTCGGTCGTCGGTGACTGCGGAGCAGAGCCGGAGCAGGAGGCCGAGCAGCAGCAGCGGCCGCCCGGAGAGCTCCATGTGCGGCGGAGCGGCGCGCTGCGTCCCCGCGAACATCCGCGTCTCTTGTGTTGTGAGCGCGTGGAGGAATGTGGATTTAATCTCTGCGGATCCGGATCAATACTCAATACTCATCGATTATCAGCTTCATTCTCCCGCTCTCTCGCGTTTAACTGATAATTTCCCAGCAGGCAGAGCGACATTAATCCATGTTATTGTGAGTGAGGAGGGAAACCTTCACGGAGACGGTTCGTCCTGGAAAACCGGGGAATTCGTCCAGATCCGCGTCCGGGAGGACCAGCAGTCCAAAAGTTTCATTTTCACTCAATCAGAACCGGATCAGACCCGCAGCAGGACCGTGTGCAGACCGGGAACCAGTCCGTCCATGTGCGTCCTGAACTCAGCCCAACATTTACGCGCAGAGCAGAGTCCGGATCAGACCCTCATTCAGGATCTGTTAGTCCTCTTTGTGTCTCTTATGTAACCGCTTCAGAGTCTGGACGAGCTCAGACCACCGAGCTGGACCCGGAGCTGGACCCGGAGCTGGACCCGGAGCTGCACCCCGGAGCCCCGCGATGCGTCCCGACCTTCCCGCTACTCTCCGTCTGGAAGTTCAGGACCGGGTCTCCGGGATCTCTGCCCCCGGACTCAAACTTTCCGGGGTTCGCTTTCTTCCATCTGCCGCTGCAGACCGAACTGAACCGAACCGAACCGAACCGAGCCGAGCTGAGCTGAGCGGGACCAGAGAGGAGAACAAAGAACAATGTGAGGTAAAGTTTTGGAGCTGCAGGAGGAGCGTTTGGCTCCGTTACCGGCTCAGTCCTCACTGCTGCTCCGGTGCGTCCCGGGGGGGCGGAGCTTCTGATTGACGGTGTTCCCCCCTCTGCTCTCTCTCTCTCTCTCTCTCCCTCTCTCTGTCTCTCTCTCTCTCTCTCTCTCTCTCTCTCTCTCTCTGTCGGTTTCTCTCTGTCTCTCTCTCTCTCTCTCTCTCTCTCTCTCTCTCTCTCTGTCGGTTTCTCTCTGTCTCTCTCTCTCTCTCTCTCTTCTGTCGGTTTCTCTCTGTCTTTCTCTCTCTCTCTCCTGTTCTTTTTCTCTCTCTCTCTCTCTCTCTCTCTGTCGGTTTCTCTCTGTTTTTTCTCTTTCTTTTTTCTCTCTCTGTCGGTTTCTCTCTGTTCTCTCTCTCTCTCTCTCTCTCTCTGTCGGTTTCTCTCTGTCTCTCTCTCTCTCTCTCTCTCTCTCTCTGTCTCTCTCTCTCTCTCTCTCTCTTTTCTGTCGGTTTCTCTTTTCTCTCTCTCTCTCTCTCTCTCTCTCTCTCTCTCTCTGTCGGTTTCTCTCTGTCTCTCTCTCTCTCTCTCTCTCTCTGTCGGTTTCTCTCTGTCTCTCTCTCTCTCTCTCTCTCTCTCTCTGTCGGTTTCTCTCTGTCTCTCTCTCTCTCTGTCGGTTTCTCTCTGTCTCTCTCTCTCTCTCTCTCTCTCTCTCTGTCTCTCTCTCTCTCTCTCTCTCTCTCTCTCTCTCTCTCTCTCTCTCTCTCTCTCTCTCTCTCTCTGTCGGTTTCTCTCTCTCTCTCTCTCCCTCTCTCTGTCTCTCTCTCTCTTTCTCTCTCTCTGTTTCTCTCTCTCTGTTTCTCTCTCTCTCTCTCCCTCTCTCTGTCTCTCTCTCTGTTTCTCTCTCTCTGTTTCTCTCTCTCTGTCTCTCTCTCTCTCTCTCTCTCTCCCCTCTCTCTCTCTCTCTCTCTCTCCCTCTCTCTCTCTCTTTCATTTTACACTATATGGCCAAAAGTATGTGGACAGTTTCTTCCACATGTTGCTGCAGAGCCCTGATCAGGGTCCAGCATTGATCCTGTCTGACTCCCAGTCGGTTCTTCAGTTTGTATCTATATATAATCTAATAATCATAGATATATAATATTTCTCTTTATTTTATATATCAGGCTGTTCACACTGCTGCACTGTAATGTTGTTTATCAGTGTATAAGCATTGGTAAACTGTCCAAATACAGTTTTTATTTAAATTTAATTAAAGATTAAAAAGACAAAAGTTACACAAGATTTTACTTCAAATTAAAGCTAAAAACTGTATTTTAATGATTTATTCAATTATTTTTTGGCGCTCCAGCTGCTGGAATATTAAATGGTGTTTTACATTGTGGTTTGACACTGGAATAACTTTTCACATGCAGCCCAGAGCTGTACGATTAATCATCGATCGATTAATAGGGTGTGAAACTCTGAGGGGGGGCACTAGGTGTTGCCAGAGCTTCACAGGGGGTTGCGTGTCCTTCTTGATTTTACGAGGTAACGTTTTAAAGACATTTGGATTCTATAGGAAGGAAAGTTGGACAAAAGTGTCCATTGGTAAAAATAAACGGCTGCATTAAACAAACTGTAGAGAACTTCATCAGATTACATCGGATCCAACTGTTCCAGATTAAAATGTCCCTGAATCTTATTGTAGCTCAGGTATCTGGATACGTATCGGATCCTCGTAGAAGGGACGCACACCTCTAACATTAAGTCTGTATGATTGTTAAAAATACATAAAACAGAGATGTGATCAATATTCACAGGACACAATCTGCTCAAAAGGGTCACCTGACCAGACCCATCACACCTGGCCCAGACAGCCAATCAAATCAAACAGAGGCGGGCTTCCTGTTCTGATCCCGTTTACTCAAACCGCCAGGAAGCCGCGCGGCCTTTAGTCTTTGAAATGAAGCCAGAGTTTACTCATCTAGAGCTCGACGTCCACTCCGCTTGGCTGCAGACGAAGCTGTGCTCCACCGAGCTAACGCTACTCCGAGATAAAAGCTAGAAGTTATGTAATGAAGCTTGATTTAGGAAATCATTAATGTGATACCGTGTGATTGATTTATGATCGATTATCACTTTTAATTTAAAATCAGAATTGAGTCTGACTTAAATTCAACAACAGTTTGTTAAAATCAAACTGGGAATGTAGGAATAGTTTGAACTGATGAACATTTTAGGATTTACAGTATGAATGTAATATTTGTGTCTCCCAGCAGCAGTGAAGCAGGGAGGAGCCTCCTCCTCTCATCCAGTGATTCAGCACTCATAAATATTTCAAAGTGTCGGCTTAGGAGGGAAAGCAAGGAGAGAGAGGAGGGTGAGGAAGAGAGAGAGATGAATCTTTAATTCTTGCTTTTAGAACGGGCCCACAGATTAATGGAGCTGCACTATTAAACTTTCAGAGGGTCCCATGAATAAATGCAGAGACCGCCGGGCGTTCAGCATCCACTGACCATGTAGACAGAGAGAGAGAGAGATCCACATTACATCAGTGTTCTTGTTAAAGCTGGACCTGGACAACATCTGGACCAGGTAACATCAGTCATTAACGAGGTCGTGGTCTGCCTGGATCCGGATCAGAGGAAACCTGGATTCTGAAGACCCATATTTAAAGACCCTGACCCTTCAGGTTCACATCCTGTCTGCGGTCCAGACCAGGATGGAGGCCAGGATCTTTCTGAACTGAGAACTGTGAGAGACAGAACCAGAATCAGAGTGGACTGACTGGATTCAGGTCCAGAGTCAGATGTTGAAGGTTGCTCAGCTCATATTTCTCCACATCCAGACTAATTTCTCCCAGCAGCCTCAGAGGCCAGTCAGAGTCTGGGTCAGGGTCAGGGTCAGGGTCAGGGTTTAGGTGTTTGGGTTTAGGGTCAGGTTTTGTGGGCTTCCAGCCTATCAGTTTTAGTTGGTGGCTGTTTTAAATGGTAAATGGACCTGTACTTGTATAACGCCTTTCTAGTCTTCCGACCACTCAAAGCGCTACGTGCCACATTCACATTCACCCTTTCACACACATTCACTCAGTGATGGTCCATCAAACAGAAACTAACTCATTCACACACACTCACAGACTGATGCACGGCATCGGAGCAATTCGGGGTTCAGTATCTTGCTCAAGGATACTTCGACATGTGGCACCAGGAGCCAGAGATCGAACCCACAACCTTCCGATTAAGGAACGACCCGCTCTGCCTCTGAGCCACAGCTGTCCTTAATGTTGGCTAGTTGTTCATTGATGGAAACTAGTAATACGTTTACTAGGTTTTTGAGTTGTTGGCTACTAGTTATATTATTAGTAGGTGGCCCCCAGTTTTTGTAGATGGCTACTGGTTGTTGGCAGCAGTAAACAGCTGTAAACATGTAACTTCACACAGGAAGCTGTGGCCTTCAGAATAAAAGCCTCCTGGGTGATTAACTGTCACCCTGATATATTAATATAAAGACAATTAAACTGCTGATAGAAACATCAGCTGACAGCAGCTGTAATCAGATATAAACACATGTAATTTCTGTCAGTCAGAACTGAGGGATAATTAATCAGAAAGCTCCTGAACTGATTTTTAGTGTTAAACTAGAATATTTGTATTTATTTATCTGCTGCAGACACAGCGTCTAAGAGTCTCTAAGTGTTCTGTGATCTGAAAATAACAGTTATTATTAGTTATTTATTGTTTGAGAGATTGTTCAACGGTCATATTATTGGATTTCATTAGAACCTGTGAAATAAAGTTATACTTAATAATATCATCATTGTTACTGTTATGTGAATCAAATAGAAAGTACAGCACTGACCTCTGCCCTGTATCTAAAGTACAGCCAATCACACGATTAGTGTCATATTATTGGATTTCACTAAAACCTATGAAATAATTTAATATTAATAATATTTGTATTGTTTTTATTATATGAATATGCCCTGAATCTACAACAGTGACCTCTGTCCTGTATCTGTGCTGTATCTGTATCTTAGTATTATTGTGGAGCTGTTACACACACGTGCAATTTGGCTTTATGTACATGTTATGTTTGGCCACGCCTTCAAAAGTTCAGTAACTAATTACAGACAAACGGTCAGTGTTACCATAACACAAACCTAAAAGTCTTGTTCAGCTTCATCCATATATTATATGTGCTGCTTTTGATGAAGATGAGATTAAATATGTTCCCAAAAAAAGCAAAAAAATGTCCAAAATGGTGGAATGTTTTTGAGACATGAATGGGTGTGGCCTATAGCAGGAACCCACTCTACAAAGACATTTCTTCTACTCCTAATAGTTCATGAGTTCAAAACGTTAAAAATGCCTAATAAACGACCAAATGGTGGCGCTGTTGAAGAAGATAGAATGTGTACTATAAAATATTCTGGTGGTCAAACATCAAACAAACACAGAAAATGTGCGTACAGTAATAATTACAGTAAGACGTTTACAGTCTAGTATCCAAAGAATAACTGACCTGCTGTTGATCTGATCAGCTCTGCCCTCTGCTGGTCATCACCAGCATCACAGGAACAAACACTGTGTGTGTGTGTGTGTGTGTGTGTGTGTGTGTGTGTGTGTTCATAATCACAGCAGAAGTTTCCTCATACTGAGCAGGTCAGGTCCGTCTCCATTACAGTCAGTGTGTTCAGAGTGAAGCAGTTTGACTCCACAGGGAGGAATTAAATCTGAATTAGTTTGAATTAATTTCCAATAGAAAGCAGCTTCAGCTCAGTTAATTACTACTTGAGTTAATGAAGTTAATCACAGACAGCAAGTCATAACGAGTCAGCTGGATAACAGGCTGCACAGGTGTGTGTGTGTGTGTGTGTGTGTGTGTGTGTGTGTGTGTGTGTGTGTGTGTGTGTGTGCAGCCGACAAACAGGATGCTTGCTGGTCAAACGCTGTGTTGGCATAAAGTGGGGAGCTCTGATTGGCTGGTGTTGAGGTCACATGTGTTTACGACCTGTGAGAGTTTAGGTCATGAACCCGGTCGTAGGATTGTTTCTACGGTAGCTCAGAATGGACAAACACTGGCTCTTTCTCCTACACACGGGGAAGGTTTGTGTTCAGTTGGTTGCACTCTGCACTTTCACCACTAGATGGCACTAAAACCCA